ATCTACCCTATGATCTGATGATGGCATAGTTTCTCTCTAGAAACATAATAATACAAATACGATCTATTTTATTATCCTCTAAATTTTTTATTCTACTATTATAACAAAATTATATTTTAATATTTAAAATTGTAAAATTAATTTTATTACGTTTAAAAAACAATTTTAATGTAAATGTATAAAAGAACACTAGAAGTAAATTTGAAATTTAAATTAGATCTTTAGTATACATTATTTAAAAAAAAAAAATATATATATATATACTAATTAATATATTATTAATTAAAAAAAAGTCTAATAAATTGTATGAAAATATAAGATAGTGTGTTGATCATACAAAAAGGAAATAAATGTAATATGAACAGAACCTTTTAAATTTCTATGATGTACATGTAAACAATATAAATATATTGTAACATGGATAACGTATATCCATAATAAATATATGGATTAATTGTTTTTTTTTTATTTTAAATGCAACATTCTTCGAACGCACAACCATTTTTTATTTTTTTAATTATTATTTATTATTCTTATTGATGCATTTGTATATATTATGATGAAAAATAATCTAAAGTAAAGTACACATATATATGTTTAACTGTAAGATATGTTTTAGAAAATTATTTGGAATAATTTTTTGGAAATTATTTTTTAAGAAAAAGAAGAAGAAGAAATTATTTGGTTTAATGTAAAAGAAAAAGGTTGTATATCCGTGGTGAGAATATGCATTTAATTACGTCATATAGTTGCATTCTATATCAGTGTTTCTCAACTGGTGATCCATGGACCATTAATGGCCGCAGAAAATTTGGGCGGTTTGCAAAAAGCATAACTCAATTTTGAATTAAAATCAAAAACTTCAGTTTCAGCTCCACGGATTTTATTATCTTACTCTTGGGTATTTCGGAGATTATTTTTATACTTCTGCATATATTTACAAGTATGATAAAATCTCTTGTATCAGTTCTACTCTTATGTTTATTAAACAAAGCTTTTAGCTTCCAGGGCTACAAACTCATTTAAGTGCGAGAATTTCGACAAATTTTCAAACTTATTTTTCACCAGAACAAAGCCTTATATGAATAAATTTTATTCTTTAGTTTTTTTTTGTGGAATCACTCCCTGCTCGTTTGTACTACTAATTGTAGGACACCCTGTATAAGTATATATTAAATTTGTCAGCGACATTTAATCAGTTGAGAAACACTGTACTACGTGACGTACGTGACAATGCGTATTGAATTGATGGACAATAGAAAGATCGGAACGTTTACTCATCACTGAACTTACAAGCATGTGGTTAGGTGTTTTGTATCTTTTCTGAATCATTTCTGTTGTTGTTATTAAAAATTCATGTGACATGACGCGTTCATATTAAAATTAACGATATTATCAATGAACAGGACTGCAACATTTTATATATATATATATATATGTATATATATATATATCTATCTATGGTATTACATATGTAATTGAATTTGTAGAAAATATGAACAAGCGGGGTATACATTTTAAATAAATACGTTAGACGACGCCATATCCTATTGTCGACCAATATACGCAGTAATTTATTTACGTTGCTCTGGCTGAGTGAATAGATGTTATTGATACTTTTATTCTCCGTTAATGACATTTCTATTTATATTTATTAACACTTGTAGCAAATTTGTTTAAAAAAAGGAGATATACAATTACTTATTCCAATAAATTGTGATATACTTAATTGATACGTTTGTGGTGCTGAAAACTTTCATTAAACATTATGAATACAACATGGGGAAGAAATGAAATAGATGACATGAGTCCAGCGATTATGCAAAGTCTGGACAGTTTATCACTCTACAACAAAGATATGCATAATACTAATCATTCTCTGATCACTGTTAATTCAAATACTGGAATGGAAGGATTGTCAGCTAAGAATAAACCCAATAATATAGAAAGCTTCTTATTAATAGATAAATATGAAAAATTAAAAGTTTTGAGTGCTGAACAATTTATTAGAAAATTGAATTGCATCGGCAAAGACAGAAGAGTTAAAGTTGTATCTATTTTTGGAAATACGGGCGATGGGAAAAGTCATACGCTAAATCAGACATTCTTCAAAGGACGTGAAGTTTTTAAAACTTCCAATGATCAAACTTCTTGTACATTCGGTATTTGGGCAGCATTTGACCCAAATCTCAACGTAATATGCCTGGATACTGAAGGTCTATTAGGTAATATTGTTTTTGTTTATAAAATAATTTTACACTTCATTTTTTTATTTATTTATTAAATTAATAAGTTCTTCTAAGGAAACTGTGTCCATAAAAATATTTTCTTATTTTGTTTCCTCAAGCAGGTGTCACTGTTTGCGAGAGTGGAAAAATAAGGCTTCTGCTTAAAGTTTTGGCTATATCTGATATTGTTATATATCGGACACGCTCAGAAAAATTGAATAAGGATTTGTTTTTGTTTTTGTCATCTGCTTCCCAAGCGTATAGTCATTATTTTCGAACAGCCTTACAAGCAATGGGAGAACGAGCAGGAATGTCAAGTTCATTAACCTCACTTGGCCCTTGCGTAATTGTTCTACAGGAGACCAGACACACCAAACCTCTGAGCAACAGTACATATAATCTCTCAGAATGACAGTAATTTCAAAGAAGAATTTTTGATTAGAAGCATATGATATATTGCTAGAAAAATCTTATAAATCTTTGTGTTTCAGATGGTTCTGAAACTGCAGAGGATATGTTGAGAACTCGATTTGGTCAAATGAGACTTGAGATAGAATCATTTAGTAAACTGAAGTATGTTGGGCTTCAAACATTAAACTCTTCCACCAATTATGAGCCTTTACGCGTGGTTATAAATAATGAACTTGAAAATACATCAGTACGATTTGCAAGACATCCACAACTCGTATACAGTACTTTGAAACACTTAAATGATAAATTTTCTGCTGAAAATACTAATTTATCTAATATCATATTCTCAGATCAATATTTTAGTTGCCCAGTAAAATGTCTCAGTTGTGGTTGTAGATGTAGTAATAGTATGGGTCATCTTAGAGATGGAAAGCCCCACAGTAATACCAATACTAGGTAACAATTATTTCTTATCGTATTAATACATTTATGAATATAATATGATTATAATAGCTACTTTTATAAATAGAACAATTGTATTTGCATAGGTGTCGGTACCAAAATCAGTATGAAAATTTAATATATATATGTAAGAGATGTTATAGCAATGGAAAAGAAGTTAAAGTAACAACTCGGTTACAAACTCATAATGATAAAAGTTGGTATGGCTTAGCTGTATACGCATGGTATGGTTCCATAATAGAATGTCCTCACTGTGGCGAAATTTATAGAAGTCGACAATATTGGTATGGAAATAAGGATCCAGAAGAAGTTGCTGTCTGTACTGAAATTACTCATGTCTGGTTTATGGTATGTTAAATTAATCATAGTTGCAGAAACTTTGTTAGATAAACTATTAATAACTGCTTAGAATATGGTTGTCATGATTATTATATTTTGTTTCAGCCAACTGCTTCTAATGTACCTCAAAATACAGCTCAACGTATGGTTGATGGTGTATCTTATATAACTGAAGCAGTTACCAATGTTTCTTTACAACCTACTAAGGCAATATCTGCTTGGGTAACAGATCAAATAGCACCTTCGTATTGGCGTCCTAATAATGAAATTAAATGGTGCTTTAAATGTAAGACAACATTTGGCGTAACAGATACAAAACATCATTGTCGTGCTTGCGGAGAAGGTTTCTGTGCACAGTGTTCCTCTCAAACAAAATGTGTACCCTCCAGAAACTGGTATACACCTGTACGTGTCTGTGATACATGTTATATGAAAGATACCAATAATTATGAAGCTGCTCAAACTGCAGATGATGTGAATGCTAGAAAAGTGACAGAGCAAGTAGTATCTACCTTAAGTGCAGTTGGAACAGTTCTAAATTATTCCAAAAGTATGTAACTTAAATCTTCTTTAAAAAAATATATTAGATTTTATATGAAAATCTTTAATTTTTCATATAATATTTTTTAACTTATACAGCTTTTATAAAAGACACTGTTAGACCGTCCTATTGGGTACCTGACTCAGAAATTACTGGATGTTGTATCTGTAACCAGAAATTTTCTCTTACGCTTTCTTTACATCACTGTAGAGATTGTGGACGTGGTGTATGTGAAGAATGTTCGCCACATCGTAAACCAGTACTTCACAGAGGATGGGATAAACCTGTGCGTGTATGCAATGCCTGCATTAAAATTGATTAATTTTACTCATCTTTTTATAGACATAAAGTACAAAAAAATTAGTTTAGAAGATATATCCAGCAAAACTGGATAAATCAATTAGTAATTACCTGTTTTCTTTTTTATTTAATTCGAGTGCTTTTATATATTTTTCAGAACTAAGTTGCAATTATACGTATTATTTCGTATAATTTTGAAATTTTGCATTCTTGTATGAATTACATTCTATTTACTACCTCTGTTGTGCTCTATATACGATTATTTAGCGCAAAATTTAATATATTTTATCAAATTTTTATTGAGATATTCCCTCTATTTATACAACAAAGATATTATATTTGTAATAAGTATCCACAAATGTACAGACAGATTTTATTAAGCAGCCAAAATATGTACAGAAAGTTATATAATAATGCTGAACATTACTGTCGCCAACATAAGATATAAAACATGAAATTACATTTCACCTATGAACTATAGTCTCATGAAATTGGCTACATATCAGTTTCAGCTATATTTGTATATCAAATCTTGACTATATTTAAAATAGAAAGTTAACAAAATATATCCAAGGAATATTATCTGTAAAAAGTTATGATTATGCATATTTAATTATATAAATGTATAATTAAAATTATTTTGATTTGATGACTGTAGAAGAAAATAAATTTCAATTAAAATGAGATCGTGATGAATAAATAAGAAATTTCCTGGCCAATTTTATTTAAGCATATTTATTCTTCATATTTACATTCTATTTTATTCGGGAAAGAAAAAAAATATTATATCAACCTAAATTAAATATTAAAAGTTTTAAGATTATAAATAGTCTACATATAAACGACAGCAAATTAATACAAATCTGGCTGCATTATTCTAGCTTGTTTATCTTCGTTCTTAATATGTTTTTTTAACAAATCCATAATTTCATTATCGAATTCAGGTGGTGTAGGCTTAGCACCTGTAGCCCAATAAAATATATCCCAATCATTAGATGGTAAATTTATAAGACGATCATACAATTTTAATTGCGAATCGTTAAAATTATCCAGGTATTTTTTAGCAAAAGTACTGAGTAAAAGACCGTTTTCTAGCATACCACGTTTGCGTGACTGGTAAATCAGTCTGAAAAATAAAATAGATATTTCAATTCTAAATTTATTTATCTGAATTACAACTGTAACAGTCTTTATACAAATAAAACCGTATAGTTAAATAGTATTACCGTGCTTTTTTAAGATCAATATTTTCTCCTTTTCGTTCTACATAAGGAGGAATATTCGATTCGTGACCTTCCAAATGAAATATATCTCCAAAATCTTTATAATTTATACAGCTGGTGGATATGCATCTTCTTACTGTCATAGGTCTAACCTTAATTAATAATTCGGTAAATATCATATAATGGTGGTCATATGTTAGAAATAATATACAATTATTCATAATTATATAAATATTTTATTATACATACTAAAAAAGTTATTGATTTAGTAATAATATTCATTTTTCTACTATATTTAAAATAGTTTATAAAAATGCGTATTTGAGTTGAAAATTGCGACGATTGTAACGCTATCTAGTAGTGAACATCATTTAAAAAGACATCAGATATATCATACATCTGCGTTTACCTATTTTATTTTTCGATTATTTTATAATGCTAAATTAATAAATAATATTAATGATATTGCTTAATATTTCTTATAACTGTCAAATTGATTAATTACAACTGAAAAAATAAACACATGTGAAAAAATATTATTTTAAATGTAGCCATTATTTTGATATTACTTGCAATGAAATGCATATCAATATCTAAAATAAAATATAAATCAAATCAAAAGTAATATCAATTGTGTGTGTGTGCACGAATTTTAACACTTGGACGTTACTGCTTACACCCTTAATTAAAATAAAATATGTACATAGAAAATTTCATTCATCGGTTATGCACTCACTGAGAATAGGTTGAAAAGTTTTGACCCCAACAAAAACTTCAATTTCTTCTTTAAATAAAATTCTTTCTATGTTAGATTCAAAATAAACTTTTCAACCCACCACGTACATGCATATAAATTCAATGTATATATTTAGTATTGTCAACAATAAATTTTCCATATTTTATGTTAAATTTATTTCTAAAATATATTTGAAAACATATTGAATTCTAAATCAATGTATCTTCGAATTTGCTAAGTCTGAATAATTATTAATTGAAGAAAGATATATTAGTTTGACAGCTAGAGAGAGATAAAATGGTAGACGTCAAAGTCAGGCAGTAATAGACAAAAGGAAAACGTCGTTACGTGGTCGACGAGTCACAGTGTTGTGAAAGTATTTTGCAATTATCTAAATTAATTTTTACTCAATTCAAAATGTTGCGATTATTATTTTTAATTGCAACATGTATTCTTTGTTCGACACAAAATACCGGTCTCGAAAGAATTACCGACCAAGATCTTTTAAATTTAATAAAAACCGAAAAATATGTTATCGCACTTTTCAGTAAGTAATTTGTTATTCATTTATTATTAGTTAATTTATTACAGAAATAATTAGTTTATTGTAAACAATGCTTTATAAAAATTATTATTTCATTTACATTATAATTAATATTGATTATTTACTTTTTTAAATAAATTTTCTAACATAACCAATATATTTTTAAATTTAATACATAGTTAATTTATGAATCTCTCTCTCTCTTTTTTATAGCAAAATCAAATTGTAAAAAATGTGACGATTTTGAAAAGGAATTGCAACGTGTTCGACAAGATTTGGTTGATAATTTATCTGCGTGGACTGTCAAAGTGACAGACAGTCAACTTTTACATCTTTATAGTCCAGAAAAAGAGCCTGTACTTGTATTTTTTAGGCATGGAAATCCTTTATTATATCATGGTAGGCATATTAATCTAAGAAGCCTAAGTAATTATATTTATATAATAGTGTTAATATTTATATTTATATTCATTAATTGCCACATTAATCAGATGATTGAATGAAAAAAGTTAAAACATCATGGAATTGCTAAATTTTTATTTTCTTTCTTTTTAAGGTATTGTGAATGGAGAAGAAATATTAACTGTACTTTCTGATAACAAAGAACTTGCAGTAAAAACTCTCAATGATGATACTTTTGAACATTTGACTCAAGCAAGCAGCGGAGCTACGACTGGTGATTGGTTTATTATGTTGTATGTAATATATAATTAATTCTCTTTGTATTTTAGCATTTAAATCTTATAATTGATGGATATATCATTTCGATTATCATAGTTATGCTACTGATGATGTAAATTCATTAAGAATGGGTGCGAGATGGGAAACGGTTGGTGCAAAACTTAAACATAGCATTAATGTTGCACGCGTAGATAAATATACTGGTGGTACTGCCACAGCAAAAAGATTCAATGTTGTTAATGTTCCTGAATTTATTTTGTAAGTGTATGCAAACTGTTTTAATTAATCTATCAAATCTAATCAATTATTTATTACCATTAATTTTCTATTTTCAGCTTTAGACATGGTAAAATGTATCGTTATCAAATTCCAAAATATGATGTTAATTCATTAGTTGCATTTGCAAAAGATTGGTATAAAAATGCTCATGCAGAAAAGGTTCCAGTTCCACAGACCCCGTTGTAAGTTTAATAATAAAAACAGATTCTTTTTAATAAATTTAATATAACTTTATTCAAATTAGTGTTGTGTGAGCATAAAATTTAGTATTGTGTATATTTTTTATTTCAGTGACGATATCACGCAAAAGATAGCAGATTTTCTTCGTGAAAATCCGTGGATTATGAAAATAGGCAGTATTACTATTGGTGTATTAATTATTGTTTCTGTAGCTTCCAAGATTAAATATAAAACAGACGTGCCACAGAAGAAGGAACAATAAACACTCTCACTTTAATTTGTTATTAATGGGTGTATATATATGCTACGAGTAAAATATGGAAAAAAATATTCAATAAAAAAATGACTAGATAATTTATTATACCTAAGAATTATAAAAGTGTTGAGATAGTAACTTTTCTTTTTAAAATAAAATATAATAGCTTGTATATATGCTTGATATATACGAATTTCTAGATCTTATAAATAATTACTATAATGTAAATGTATGGTTTAATAATAAAAGAAAAATATACAGTAATATTTAAATGATATTCAAAAATTACCCATAATATATAATAAATATTAAAGATTTTAAATAAATGTGCTTTTTTAAGTTGGTCTATAGCCACCATCTGCTTAATGGCTTGCTGGCACTAAGGTAAAATATAAATTTTAATTATAATCATGTTTCTTTTTTCTTTTCGAGATTTTCTCAATAAATATTCCTGTACATATATTTCCTTGTATATTAGTTATAATTATAGCCAAAAATATGGATACCAATATTTTTAATTACCAATTAATAATAGAAGTGTTAAAATTATTTTAAAAATTAGTGTAAAAATTCTTTTTTTAAAATTTAGTCAATTACACGTTACAATGAAGTATTTGTACATTGTATTTTGCAAAATCATTCTCTTCCTTAAAATGAGTTATAGTAACAACCATAAACAGGTTAATTTAATCTTAATTATCAAATATTTGAATGCATTATCTTGTATACATAACAATAAGGAATGGTTTGTGCATACTACCATTGATAATATAGTTATCTTTCAGATATCTATAAACATGAAGCGTAGTTTTCAAGATTTGTGCTAAATATTATCAACCGATACATTTATCCTTAATGTAGTTGATGAATTAGATAACGCCATTCTAATGCTGTTTTCAAATTTTTCCTGTATAGAGGAAAATTCCATCATATTGCTCGGTTTAGATTCAATCCAAAATCCATCGAACTCGTAGAAGAGATAACAATAAAACTGATGAAAAGCACGCATAGTCGGTAGTGTCTTTGATGAATTATAGATATGTGTTTTAGCAGTACCATCTTTCAATAATTTTAATGCCATACTGGTAAGGTTTATACCTACAATAGCAAATGCATAACCATAATGCGGATGAGTAGAATGAGATAAAACATGAGTCGCTGCACTGGGGTATTCTTGAGCAAAATATACGAGATTCTCCAATCCCAATATTCCCATTCCACGAAAGTCTGTTTTAGGATCGTCTCCCTGAAAACCAATATTCTGCCATTGTTTAGTTACTCTAGCATCCAAAGAATCATAAGGCATAAGTAGATTCCATAATTTCAATAACAATAATTCATGTTCTGGATTATCAGCGTCGTAGGGCGTTTTTCGAAGTTCTTCACATTCCACGCATAGCTGACGATAACCCCAAATTAATTCGATGCATTTACCAAATGATTTGGCAAAATCTGGATGCGCTGTTGGGTTAACATTTTTCGTCACCAATACTGTTCTAATTGCCTCTTCTAAAATTTCACGTTCACTTTTAATAGTTATACCACGCTGATTAGCAATGTCATTTAAATAAGTTATCAAACTCTTGATATTAGCATTCTTTGATTGATGTAGAGATTCTTCAACCGCAAGCGTTCTAGGAGCTCCAGAAGGTTGTCCATAACAAATTCTTTGAAGCTCACACATTTGTGTCGTTTGTCTTAAAAACCATTTGATAAATGGTCGAAAATACCAATATATCACTGACAATATATACTGGAGAAACATGTTTCACATAGTTTGTCAATAACATTCAAAGATAAAGTTTATATATTAATATCAATTATTTTTATATAATTTCATAACATTCCACAAAAAATGTAAATTTGTTGTTAATCTTTTCATTCAATTTTCATTTATCAACAATAATTGATTGAATACATAACCTCTAAATTGAGCAAGTTAGTAATACAAATTACTTTTCATCAAACTATCCAACGCTTATGTATTCCCACTCTTATTAACTTGCGTATCTAGCAAACATAGGGAGTATCTTATATATTTTGCGAAGAACAAAAGTTACCTTCCGGGGGTCACAGGGGAAAGAAGAGATATAAACGCGTTCGTTTCTTTTTTCTTCTGTTCAATATATGTATATATATATATATATATATATATATGTACAAAGAGAAAGAGAGAAAGGACTTCAAAGCGATTTCAAAAAGTGTTTATTAATTCAATTTTCTAATGTTTTATATATTTCTTTTTTGGAATTTTTTTATTTTAATGTTTTTAGTATTTAATGTTTAATGTATCTAATTTTGTTTAGGTATATTTATTATATATTATTTTATTGAATAATATTTATAATTTATAATTGTAAAAATATTAGTATATACCAAATGAGATAGCATAATTATGCATATTAATTAGTTAAATATTAAATTAAATAATATTATAAGCATTATGAAGTCGCGTAAAAGGGGTCAAACGTTACTCAGCGAGACTCGTAATATGGTCAGAAGATTAACACGACAATGTGACGAAGAGAAAAATAACGGATAGTATGTATAAAAATTTATTATCAAATTTTATTGTTTTATTTTGTTTATCTGCGTTTTCTACCACCTACTTTCGTATGCATATCTCTTTTGCCTTTGCCACCTTTTGGTTTCTTTGAACCTTTGTGTGCTTTAGTCGTTACTTTCTTCCTTTTTCTGCAAAATAAATATATAATTATTCATTAAAGTCCGATGTATAGAGAGTAATGTTTCTAGTATACTTTAATATACCCTAAAAATAAATTTTTTTTATAAATATCTTACGCTGCTGAAGATGAAGCTGAATCTGTATTTAAAATAGTACTTTTATTACTAAGAATTGTGTTTACTAAATTCTTATTTTTTTCATTTTCATCTTTTAAATTTAATGGGGTTTCTTTCGCCTTTCTCTTCAAACTTGACAATTTTGTTAAAATTCCTTTTGCATCTTTTTCTTTTGGTAATCTATAATTATAAGAATATATTTAAATAAAATATATATATCCAAATAAAATTTTTCTTCTAATTAAAATTTACCTTTCTTGAAATTTCCCTAGAGATGCCGTTGATTTATGAGCTACCGTTACCGCTGTAGAAAGCTGGCTTGGTTTGGGAAAATGTTCCACAGTAGGAAGACCTACTCGTGGTAGTTTAACGTTTTTGGATTTAGCTATATTACGCAATCGTTGCAATTCATTTTTAGATTGCCTTTCATGTTTACTAGTACTCATGGCAGTAAATGGATCTTCCTTTGGATTATTATCTTTTCCCACTTCGACGACCCATTCTTTTTGTTCAATTGCTTTAGATCGTTGATAACCATACCGTGGCATCCATTTCTACAAAAGTTATTATTAATACTACAATATTAAATTAAAATATAATAGAATTAAAAATATGCACACAAAAAGAGTAGAGAAAATAAGCTGATTTAATAAATGAAGACGCAATCTCAATGTTATTTCTACGATAAATTTCTTCTAATTTAAAATATTGTAGAACAATACAAGAAACATACCTGTAATTCTTCATCCCATTTCAATTTTGTCCTATTCTTTTTGTTGGTTCTTATTCCCTTTTCTTTAGCAAATTGTTGCCATTTTGTTAAAGGTTTAGGTTTTGGAATTACACGAGTTCTTGGAAGTATATATTGAGGCACTGGCAATTGGGCAACTATTGCCTCTTCTACACGTTCAGTAGGAAGGCTCCATATATTATTAATTAAAAGTTGAACATTGTCTCTTGTTAACTGCTGTAAATAAATATTTGGATTCGACCTATAACATTTAAAAAAAAAATATATTAAGGTTATGTAAATTATTGCAGACCATACACATACAAAAGTTACATATTTTATTAAGGATATATCAACATATAAATACCAAAAATATAAAAAGATACATAAGTAAATAAATTAAATTAGGATTATATGTTTTTTTTTTAATCTAATTACCTTAATTCTTTGATATCTAAACCATTAGAATCAGATAAGAGGAGTGTTCCTAAATCGATTTCTGGTTCAATATCTTTATGAACTTTCGTTGATTTTTTAGAATCCAATTGCGCATCTTCACTTTCTAATATTAAATTAACAACGTCCATAGCAATAAATAAAATTTCTCTCTATAACTCAAATATTGATTGCTACGACTGGCTACGACTTTCAACACGTGTTCACAAGACGGATTTTCTTACCAACTTACTAACCGAACAATCGTCACATGACTCGCTTTGAATCTGCATTACCGATCAATATACATATACAGATATATATAACAATAATAATAATTTAAATAAAAAAGCGTGCTACTAAATACCAGATATTTTTGCATTCAATTAATAAAAACATAGGTTGTTTCTTGTTAACCTCTTTCTAATTAAAAAAAGGAAAAATTAGAGTCTAAAGTGGCTGCCACGTGACGATGGTTATCTACTTATGTCTCTTTCTTCTGTTATCATAATCGGTTTCAATCAAAACAACAACAGTGTAAATCGTGAATAAGGGTTTCGTTTGTCCTGGACCGACCGACAACGACTTTTCAATAGGGCATATATACAATCAATCGATCCTATCTCCTAAATTGAAATTAACTTCGCTTAATTTGGTGGACTCTAATACTCTAATTATTTATTTGAAATTCCATCATTTAGGTTGAAAATTTTCGCAACTGGCGAGGGGTACAATTAAGAAAAGCAAGGAGGATAGCAGAACAAGATCTTTGTTTATTTGTTAGACATCAACGAGATGCTTATTGAAAGTCTAACAGACTGCTAGCCCATCGTGGCGTAAATTATCTTTTATGGATTGTCCATAGGTTCTTCGATCAAACTAATTTGAGGTTATGTATGTGGTATGTTGTGTGAGCAATGCGATTTTAATGTAGCATTTTAATATTGAAGTAATTATTTAATATACATTATATACATTTTTAATGTATACTAGTACGTATATAGTCAGTATATTAGTACGTATATTAGTACGTATTTATACGTCTTCTCTTATATACAAAAAAAATTTTGTTAAGAAAATAAAAAATAAAAATTCAATTTTGTGTAATAAAGACAATGATGAGAATGACAGGTTCATTTTGTGTTCTTTGTAGTACAAATATTGATGCGTCTTCCTGCGTAAATATCTTTACGCCTCTTCTATACAATAATGAGTTACTAGTAAATTTTATAATACGCGAATTCAAACAGATGTCATCTAATCTACATAGTCCGTACATCTGTTTTCGTTGTTATAAATTATTTCAAATGTTAGAACGAGCACAATGGATCATTAATAATGTTCGTTGTGAAATTTTAAAATCTCACCAACGTATATTACCGAAGAATACAGATTATCTTGTAGACAATACTCAAATTTTTGAAGCTATCCAAACTAAACGGGATTTAGATCAGACAACAAATGGACCAAAACATATTACAGATCTAAGTTATTTGAATTATTTGAATATTAATCCAAACCTTATGGCCTCTCATAACATTAAAAATATTGAACTAATTGATTCGAGAGATATCTTTAAAGAAGAAACAGATATTGATAGTAAAGTTTCAGAAAGCGTATACAATATTATTAAAAATAATAGCTATTGTAATATAGATTATAAGAATAATGATAATGTAAATAAAGATACGAAGATTGAAATATATAATAAAAAACGAGATTTGATTATGCAAATTTTAGAAAATGATTTTCGCAAATATATGTTAAATGATATAGTAGAACGAGATATCACAGAACAAGAAATTTCTAATAAACAGTGTAAGTTCTGTACCGAATCATTTAAGACCAATGAGGAATTAAATGTACATTTATTAAAACATAATGATATACAATTATATCAGTGTTCTGAATGCAAGGAAATACTCATAAGTGTTTCACTTGCAAGTATGCATGTATTAAAAGCACACAGTGAAAATCAACATTGCGTTAATATTTTACCAATTTCGTATAAAAATGAAATAGAACCTTCTCTTAATGATGTCTCTCTTTTTCCACAAAATAATACGGGAACATTAAATGATATAAAGTCAAATACTTTTGAACATACGGAGATCGATAAAAATATATCCGAAATAAGAGATAATACAATGTCTACTATAGGCAAGTTAAAATTAATCATTTGTCATATATATTAATAATTATTGTGTAAATTGCTAAAAAAAAATTTTGATTTAGTTTTATTACTAATTAAAATATTTTATTTTGTAGAAAATAAAGAAGTTGCAGAAAGCAATGCTATTAACTCCATAGATGAAAAGAGCAAAGTAAATTCAAATTCTGTTTCTTGGAAATCGAGAGGAATATTAAATTACAGTTTAAAACCATTTAAACATACATGCTCTAAGTGTAATAAAAAGTGGAAAACATCTACGGAATTAAAGATACATATGAAATCTCATTCAAATATAAGACCATATATGTGTGAAATATGTGGTCAGGCTTATAAATATAAACAAGCTTTAAATATACATATTGATATGCATAATGGAATAAGCCCATTTCAATGTTCTTATTGTAACAAATGTTTTACACAAAAAGGTGCATTAGTGAGACATCTACCAATGCATACCGGAGAAACACCATATCAATGTGAATTATGTGGCAAAAGATTTATACATCATTCATCATACAACATGCATATATTGTCTCATACTGGAAAAAAATCTTATCAATGTCATGTAAGTGATCATATATATTAATCATGTATGTATACAGTTATACAAAAGTAAATTTAATACGTTCTTTTAAGATATGCGATGCATCATTGCTTTCTACATCACATTTAAAAAGACACATGCGAGTACATACAGGTGAAAAACCATATAGCTGCATCGTATGTGGAAAACGTTTCGCGCAACGATACAATTTACAATCTCATAAAAAAATACATAGCATATCAGAAACAACGACAAATGATACTGAAGATTTACTAAACTTGTAAGCTAAAAATTGGAAAAGTATCCTTTAAATTTTTATAATTTATATATAAATAAATATTAAATATTATTTTTCATTTTGTGTATATTTATTTACAGGTGTAACCAGTGTAACTCATTATGTCAAGAAGGACACAAATGTAATGAGCAAATAAAAAATCAATCCAATTCAGATAAAAATATTACAACTACGGAAAAAGTAATTAATTATAATTGCAGTTTAGAATCCTTGGTATAAAAAAAAAATTAAACCTTATAAATTAAATAATAAATATGAAGCGCAGAATTTAAAGAATATTAATTCTGATAATAATATAACTTTGGTAGAAATTAATCAATCAAAGTTAAATGTCAATAGTAATGAAACAAAATTTGTATTATTACAAGATTCCTCGGCGCAAACTCATTGTAAATAAAAATAAACATAAACAGCTCATTGTCCAAAAATATGTATATTATATTTTTATTTTATATATTTTTTATATATATATGCATGCTTGAAATCATGTTTCCAATATTAAATTTATTTATGTATTTTTCTAAATTAAGAGATATATATATATTAATGTATTATGTGATTGCTAAGTANTTAATGCTTGAAATCATGTTTCCAATATTAAATTTATTTATGTATTTTTCTAAATTAAGAGATATATATATATTAATGTATTATGTGATTGCTAAGTACAAATATACAATTTTCTGATGTAAAATTTCTTGTTTATTTAATTTAATTCTCTTTAGTTCTTAGTAGTAATTTAATATTAAATGAAAATATAGTTTTAATAAAAAAGCTATAATTATAGTAATTATTATATATAGTTTTAATGTATAAATAAATGAATAAAACTGAATTTTAATATCCCTCTTTTTAACCGTGAATAAAATACATATTAGTGTCCTTTTCATCATATTGTTATGCTATCTGTTTCTAATTTCTTATTTTGTCTTATTTTGGGAATGGATAAAGATCTGTAAAGTCAATCATGAAAAATAAAAATTAAGAAAGCTAAAAAAGAAACGAATTTAAGATTAATATTAATTATAATCAATGTTTTAAGACGTTAGTAAAAATATAATATAAAACATTTGTGTTATACTCTTTCATTTTATCAATAACATATGGAATACGATCAGGAATAGCCACTCGTAGAAGATATTTAATTTCTGGTATATGTTCCAGACTTCGGAATAATTGCTTTACGCATATTTTTTCAATAAAATTCATCAAAATATTAAATGCTTCAGTATAATTGTCTGTTAATAACTGAAACATATGATAGACGAGTTAATATAATTAATTCAATACTGGTGTATACTGTATAGGACGTATTTATAACATTTTACCACAAGAGAAAAAAATCCTGGATTTTTTTCATGATGTTCTAAATATATCTTCCTTGTTCTTAAAACAAGTTCAACGTATATACGTTTCAAGTTTTCTGACTTTTCATCGTTATCATTTTCATATTGCTATACGTATAAACAAAGACTATTACTTGCAAATGAAAGTAGATAGATTGATGAATACTTCTTTCCATATTATTATCACAATTAATAAATTATTAAAAAAAAGAGTAGAATTACTAAAGCTAGCAATGTTTCTTCACTAGAACTAGTATCATCGATATCATCATCAGCAGAAATCTCATGTTCTATCTTATCATTTATTTTGTACTGATACGAAGTTCTTTTGATTTTTCTATGTTTATGTTTTTTATTGTGTATAATTATATTTGATTCCTCATCTAATAAGACCTATAAATAACCACATTGAGTATGATATACATATATATATATATATATATGAATATAAGAAAGTGTACGTAAGTATAAGTAAGTGTAAATAAATATTTATCTCTCTATCTATATATCTAAATATATATATATATATATTTCAGTATATATTTAAAAATATACATACGTATATTTTACCTTTAAATCATTGAATCGTTGCTTATTGTCAGTAAACAAATATGAATCTTGAACTATTGTAATTTTTGGTAACATAGTTTTACTTTCATATATTATATCAGTTGTTGTTGCTCCAGTACCTTGAGGTCTAACGAACATACTATATCCAGGTAATTTTAAACTATTCATTATCTATATGATATGTATATTAATAATATAGGCATATTCAAAGCAACATTTAATTATATGCAATATAGTTTTATATACTTATGTATATAATTCAGTTTTCTTTTACCTGCTCTATAATACTTAAAATAAAGTTCAATATACTGCTTTTGGACTCTTTCTTAATATGCGTATGTTTGCCTATGTTGATAGCGAGCAAATCTCCTACACTATCTTGAATCCAAGAATAAATATCAAATTTATCCTCTATCCAACTTCGATGTTGAGCAATATCATTTGTAATTACCAAGATAGGCTTGACATTTAAATAGCGATTACATATTTGCATAGTTGTATGTAAGTCTGCTTGAGTTATGCCAATTTTTTGTTCCATTATTAATGAAGCTATTTCATTCATATCTATATAAAAATTATAATAAAGATCTATTCTTTATCAAGTGATAATGAAAAATAAAAAAACAGAAGTAATCAAATGTAAAATATATTTTATGACTAACGAAATCCATAACTGTGTCCTAACAATTCTTGGATTCCTAAAAAGTTACCACAACAAGCTATTTCGTTAAAATCTTCTCGTTTAACGAAAATAAATGTTTTTTCTTCATTTTCACGAATTTCTAATTGCTTAGTAGTATACCATTTGCAGTATTTTACCTGACAGAAATATAAAGATGCATTATGAAACAATATATCGCTTTATCCTGATATAAAATTATTTTACATGCATATGAATAATGAAATGAAATAATGAATTTTACTTTATTAGGAATTGTATACGATATATGTAAAGCTAATGCTCTTTTTTTTACTGCAGATGGACCAGTCAATATTAATAATGGTGGCCTGATTTTATCATATGCGATCACATGTGTATCTATTTTAGGTGTACTCAAATGTTCTAATAAAGTCAGTTTACTGATATTACGTGCAGTTATCAAATTTAATGACGGGGCAAATAAGGTTGCTGCAGATATCTAAACAAAATAAAAAATGATTGATTATATTTAATAATGAAATATATTTGTACCTTTTTGTGTACCTTTTCCATAATAGATACTTCGATGCCATCAATAAACATAACACTTGGAATAGAAAATAAAATTACATCTCTATAATTGGGCCATTTTATGCATACATTTCCTCTAAGATCTATTTCATATATCGATCCTTTTAAATTTGATACTTCTAAAAGATCTATAATTTTATTATACTTTAAATCTATGAATCTTAAACTGCATGCATCCTACACAAATAATATTTAAATAATTACTCATACATATAATAAAAGATGTTTATTAAGAGAGAGAGAAAAAATGTTTACTTTGAAAAAATCTAAGCTAGATAATTTATTATATCCCAATATAATAGTTTTCAAATTGATTAAACTTTTCATACCGCTATCCGATTTATTACATTTATATGATGTTATGCAATTTCCTTCTAAATTTAATTCCTTAATGTTTAAATTATCTAAATTTTCAATATATTCGATTGAATTGTAAGATAAATTCAAGTATTGTAAATATCTGAGAAGAATGATAACAATAATAATTATATTACATATTAAATGGTAAAGACATTATTTTATTTATATTATACACTAACTTTAAATTATGCAATCCAAAAATAACTTCAATTTCATTGTGAGATAAATCTAATCTAACAATACTCCAAAAACTACTTAGATCGCACATTTGAGTTATATGATTATGAGATAAATTTACGTAAGTTAAATACCAAGGTGGTGTAAAATTTAATATATCTATGAGTTTATTATATGACGCATTTAAATACATTAAATAAGGAATTCCACCCAGTGGTATTAAATTTGTAAGATTGTTATGCGTCAAATCAATGTATTGTAGATAACGATGATAATATAAAACAGTAATATCTGCAAGTGACTAAAAAATATATCGGTTAAATAAATGCATTATAATACATTCATACAATTTATTTTAATGTTATAATTATTACCATTTTTCTCATGATACATTTTGCCAAAATATAAAGTCCAGATTCTGGTGACTTAGTTAAAAATGAAGATCCAAGCCCTATTAATCGATCAGTAAAAATACCATTGTTTTCCAAGTCATCAAATGAAACATCTTTTATAGATCTCAAATTGACAATAGGTGATTCCTCATCTTCCCATAATTGTATATCTAAAGTATATCCACCCCAATTACTTCTAGTAATGTTTTTCTTTTTTATGAATAATTCGAAATATTGTGAATTATCCATTATGAATAATATGTTTCACTTAATCGTAGAGATATAATATTTTTTATTTAAATCACATATGTTTATAAAATATATAATTGTTATTTATCATTACTGATTAACAAATGTAGACATTTTTTTTTTTTAATCAATGTTATAAATCAAATGAATATCACATTGTATACAGCTTCAAGTATGTTAATAAGTTTATGTAATATAAAACAATATTCATACCATTTGTATAATTGTTATTTATAATAGATTTTTTACTTAATTAGTAGCTAATGTTTCCAGAGCTGATCCCGTTAAACGATATGCATGCCATTCTGTTTCTTCTGTCAAATTAATAGCACCCAAACTCTTATAAAACTCTTGTGCTGGATTCCACTTCAGCACTGAGAAATCTAACCGACAGCAACCGCTATCTATGGCTTTCTTCAATAATAAAATTTTATAAAATTTTCATTGTAGTTATATATAAATATTTGTTTGAGGAAAATAATATAATTACTTTAATATACATAAGGTTTCCTATATATACTCTATATGAATCTATTTAATTACACATACTTTTGCAATAGTCTTAACAAGTTTAGTGCCAACATGTTTTTTTCGTTGATTAGATGTAACATAAAGATCTTCCAAATACATAGCTCTTCCATTCCATGTTGAATAAGTATAATATGCTAATGCATAGCCTATTATTTGTTGATCTATTGTTGCTACATAGCAAAAAAATAGAGGATTCTTCGTATCAAATCCATCTCGTTCTAAAACTAAAAATATATAATTTATTTATACATATATATAATAAAAAAAAGTATGCAAGTTATATAATTATTAATTTTACTTTTATAATCGATCTTTGGTTCATTAGGCATATTCTCATAATCAGCTAGCTCCTGCAGTATACAAAAATAATTATATTATCATAGTGAATTTAAAAAAAAAACATAAAAGTAATATTTTGCATTTTAATTACCTGGATTAAGTTTCTTATAGCTAAGCAATCTTCACGTTTAGCTTCACGTATCTTTACCATATCCATATTTAATCTATAGAATAAGATCTTATATATATTTTAAAACTACAAAGTGAAAAATAGAATAATGAATTCTATTAAATCTTTAAAAAGAACAGATTAAAAAAAGTGACTACTAATTGTTACTTTTTTAAACGTTTGTTTCAATAATTACAAATTAGTGTTTTAAATATTTGCAACTGTACTCAAGTATAATATCTATTACATTAAGTGGTCATACTGATAAGCAAGTTTATACTGCAATACATGATATATATATTTAGCTAATTTACATGATATTTTATAAGCCATGCATTCCGTCGCAAATAATATCTACCTGATGGGTGATTAAATATGTAAGCTTAATTATTGTGGTAACTAAACTATTTTTTTATTTTTAATAAACATATTATCAAATATATACATCATTTTTTATAATATTTATACATAAGTATTCATTTATTTTTAATTATTATTTTTACAGAATAATTTAATATTTTTTCTCGCAAATTTATATAATAGTTCTTGTATATATCGATTATATTAATTATTTTCTCTATGCATATACCACTAATTAAAATTTTACTGAAACTGCATCAATATCTAATGATACAAGAGGCATGGCAAGGGCAATGTTCCCCTGTTGCACTACTAGTTCGTATTTTGCCTGTAACTATCGTTGAAGTTGTACGTGCTTCAAGTACAAGTTAGCCAACAATCTTAATTGTTATTAATTATGATAAAACTTATTGCACATATGTTTTTTAATACGAAAAATAAAAATGTATGATTAATAATATTTAAAACCAAAATTATGGTTGCACTCATGAAGTCTATATAGTCCTATAGCTTCGTGGCTGCACTTATGAATATCCTATAAGAAATTAAGCTTACGGATTTTTTTATCAATCGCGAACCAATTAGCGCAGAGTATTTGGCGATGGATTGGCATAAATGTAAGTCTGCCACAATTGTTTATACGATAGCACCATCTGGTGGATGCAAGCAATTACACTATACGTCGACATTCCATTGTTAATGGTAGTCTTACGAATGCTTTGTGCAAGTTTGGTGCTGTAAAAAACTTTACATTGGTTAGGTACGTTTAAAACTGTTGCTCGCGAGCTACCGTGAAATAAACATAATAAAAGAGCAAAGAATACATCGATAATGTCAGAAATTGATGCAAAAGTTAATATGTCGCTCGGTAAGTGGCTAGAGTCCCGAAAATCTACAGATTTTGCTGATATTCCTGAGTGAGCCTATGGCTGCATTCTTTCCTTTGCACTACACAAAATGGCGGTGAAATTTCTCGGACGTAATAACTACGTAATGTTTCTTTCCATCCCTTTCGAATCGAGGGCTAAGTTGAATAATAATAATAATAATAATAATAATAATAAAAAGTATATATGACCCTACGAGAACAAAACAATTTCTGAGCGAACACGAAGCCGATCGATTCTTTTCGCACATTAAATGATATGACTTATAATTATTTAATCCTATACTGGGGAAACATTGCGCAACAGAAAGGTGTGAGATAGAGTGAAATCAGATCATTTTTGATCTTGACTGGGCAACTCACCGAGAATGCACGAATGACTCAGCCTCTATAAAAAGAAATTTTTTATCGTGTTTACGTAATAAAAAAATAAAAATATTCTATTTTCGTGGATATTCTATATCTGCTATTATTTTGAATTATCACTTCTAACCACACAGGAGCATAGTTTAACTATCGACGCACAAGATATCAAATATGGTCATTTTCTGCGAAGGTCGTATACACGGAGGTGTACTAAAAAAAAAACATAGAACCTCAGCTATTCGGTGAATATTAATTGCAATGATTTAAGAAAGACAAAGAATCTTCCATCAACGAATTATCAACAATATCGAAATTAACGCAAAATTGGAAGACCCTGTAACAAGATATTTTTATCTCTGCAATATATCAATCTAATTTTGATTGACGCGTTATGCACGATTGAAGTGGCGCAGAATTCATCACTGAAATATTATATTAACTTCTTTGCAATCTCTCTTGCGACCAGAAGAAAGAAGATATTACGAATTCCATATTTTTTGAGTATCCAAATAGCACGAAATTTTACAATATATATATATATATACATATATATGTATATATATTTATATATATATATATGTATATATATATAATATATATATATATATGTATATAATATAACCAACAGGGTCTCTAAAGGATATGATATATTTTGAATTAAAAAAAAATAAAATAAAAATTAAATAAATAAACAGTAAAGGTTTCGTCAACTTTGCTTGTAAAAAAAATACAATATTTGTAGTGGTTGTACTACATAATTATTAATAACTGATATGAATATCCAAGCATTTTGTTACATTATCATTTAGTAATATTATTCCATATAAAAAGTGTCTGTGTTCTTTAATATCATATATAATAACATGGGCAATGAATAAAATTCAAATCTACATACCAAAATTTTATAAGTTTCTTAACAAGAGTGTATCTTGGTGTAAGGATAATGGTAAAAGAAGTGTCAAACGTTGTCCAGTTTCCGAAGTAGATGGAGAGAGAAAGAGAAATCGCAATAGAAAAGTGTAAAAGAAACCACAGTATACAAACTATGAATTTAAAACCATGCATTATTGAGATGTTTAAATAGCCCTCACGTAAAGCTGATACATCTCTGGAACAAAAGTAAGAACGAAATACTATGCAACTGAATCCTCAGTGTTTATTGCAAATATATAAACAATTTAAAAGATCGGAAACGAATTAATGGGCGGAATCATTCTTCCTGGAAAACAAATAGACCATCACACGTCTTGAAAATTATTTGAAGTTATATATTATGGAATGAATCAATTGGAAGTAAACCAATATAAATTATTTACGAAGAAATGACTACATTGAAGAGTTCAATATTGGGAACAATATTATAAATCGAAATTAAATTATGAATAATGTATATAAATCTTGAAAGAAAGATCATACCAATAGATAAAGAAAGAAAGAAGGATAAAAAGATAGAAAGAAGAAATTATTTGGATCGCTAGAACTTCCCGTCATATACTGGACATGGATCACAGATATTTATTATCGTGGCTGTATTATTTTAAAAGAGATGGAAAAAGTTGTACTACTAGTTTCTTCATTTTTATTTTTAGATATGCAAAGTGATATATCTTAAACAAATTTTTATTAAAAGTTTTTCTCTTTCTCTTTTTTTTAATTTATCTATTTTTAACGATTCAAATCTATATGAATAGATTAATGATGAAAAATTAGAGTTATACTGAATATGTGAGAAATAGATTTTTCAAAACTTGTAGTCATAATTAGAAGCTTGTAGTCACAATTATAAATAAATACAAAGGAAGTAAACATTCTTACAAAAAAGGAAAGAAATAGCTCGTTATCTCACATCATTCTTTAGGAATTTTTAACTGGAATTTTAACTGGAAATTTTTGTCTAGTTAAAAATAAAAATAAAAATAGAAAAAAATTTTAATCCTGCAGCCGGAATTGTATGCTCACTAAAACTTGTGAATTTTCTTCCTTTTAAGATGAGATCATAAAGATGGAGAAAAAGGAAAAAAAGAAAAAGGCTAATACAACTAATGGAAAAGGTGGTCCTAAACGCAATCGAGGGAATAATGCACGTGGACGAAATGGACTTAGAGGTCGAGGCGCAAGAACTAATAAGCGTAATATTGGCACATTGAAGAAAGAACAAAAATGGCAACGTGGCCAAAATGCTAATATCCGTGGTAGTTTTACTAAAAAACGTTTCATCAAAAATGGTGGAGTTGCTTCACAAAGTCTACTAGCATTAAATCAAAAAGCTAATGTAAGAGGGAATGTAAATGTACGACGTGGTCGTGGAAATCGTTATGGTTTAACACGTAGTCGAAGTAGAACAAATTTGACTATTACAAAAGCTGGATTTTTTACTGCTAATAAAGCAACGCTGAAAAGAACAAATAGTGTGGGTAGTGTCAGAGATCCAACTTCTGTTCACAATCGATTAGGATATCAAAGTCCAGCACAAATTGCATATCGAAATCATGTTAAAAGAGCTAAGCAACTTCTCCTCCAAAGGCAAAATCAACGACTTAACTTTCAAAATCAATTTAGAGTGAGTTATTGTATTAAGTATTCTATTCATTTATTTCACACAAAATGGTTTTATTTTAAATATTATTATTTAAAAAAAATATCTTATTAGATGTTGCAAGCAGGAAAATCACCACTTTCGCTACAGCAAAGACCATTAGAACGGCGTCAACAAATTTTAACCTCTCAAAGAAGATTTACGACTGGTGGTTTACGTTCTGATCAAATTGCACGTGCTCAAAGAAGATCTCAATATGAACAGAAACTTATGAGGATGAAGTAAGAAAATATTATATTTCATAAACCCTTAGCGCTCCGTGTGTTGTTGGCTCCGCTACAGAGCCATCCATCATTTGTTCCGTAACTCGTGCGGAGCGCTAAGGGTTAATATTTATTCATTTGTTATATTTATATAAAATCAATATTTAATCAATAAATTCCATTATTCTAAATTAATAGAATGTATGTTTATATTACAGTTCTGCACGAATCACGCCTTCTAATGTGAATTTCATGTGCACGTTAGGTAATGATTATACACCAAATACACATGAACATTCCATGAGCCTTGCACAGAACAGAAATGAAAGAAACATGAGTGGTCTTCAACAACTATTGAGAGGGCGTTCACCAATTACACAAACGATACAAAATTTAAACATGGTATAAAAAAATAACACTCTTAAAATTAATAGAATTAAGAATTTATAAAACTTTTAAACTATTTCAATTATTTGTATATTTATTTTAGATTGGACGATCTCCTGTATTTGGTCGACAGCGCTCACGGTCAAGATCACGTTCTCGTTCACGCACACGTAACGTTCCTATGTCTGATTCAGGAGCCGATTTAGATGATCGTACTTTTAGTAAAATTATGTATAGTATATCGGCAAGTCTTGGCGTCACAGGGCGAACCCTTAATGATAGATTTAGTTTTTAAATGCAATAAAACAGATTCATCTTACATTCAGAATGAAAGACTGGCAAATTCAGTGCACATGAGTTATAACATTTTCAGTTTTAATTATTAATGGGGAGATGTGCTGTTTTTTGCAACTTAGAAGTATAAACATCATTCTAATATTGAATAAATATCTATAACATCGATATCAGATCGATTTAGAATTATTCAAATTAACTTTATTACATTTAGTTTTATTTTACTCCGATAACATATCTTTTATTATGCTTTTTGATATAAAAAAATGATAGCATTTGTTATAAAAAAAAATTGTTACTGTAATATATTTAAGCATAATTTCCTCTATATATATATATATATATATATGTACATATATA